CCCCCCCTACCTCGGACGCTCAAGTCAAACTGCATCTGGTCTTCGGGGGAGAGGCAGGTGTAGGTGCCGGCGTCCTCCTTGGCCACGTTGTGAAGAATGAGGCTGTGCACGCGGCCGTCCTGCCGCAGCTCACAGCGCTCCCCGGCCACCGCTGCCCGCTGCGGGCCCAGCCAGGTGATGTTGGCTCGGTCCGTGGAGGCAACAGCGGAGAGCACAGCACTGCCACCCTCCAGCACCAGCAGCTTCTCCTGCTCCTCCCGTTTGTTCACGAACAGTACAGGTGCCTCTGCACCGGGGGAGCACTGGGCTCAGCCATGCCCCTGCCGGTAGCACCGGTGTGGGATGGGGGCATGAAGCATCCCGGTGTGGGTCTAGGGCCCCCTGGCATGGGTGAGGGATGCCTCCAGACTCACCTTTCACGTGCAGCATGAAATGCACCTCGTCATCACCAGCATCACAAAGGAAGATGCCACCGTCGCCCAGCTCTGCTTGCTTGATGGTGAGGCTTCGTGTGGGGCCCTCGCTGCACACTAGCAGCCGGCCACCCGAGCACAGCATCTGTCCATCCTTCTGCCACTGCACTGCTGCTGTCTCTGGGGACAGCCGGGCCACCAGTGTCACACTGTCCCCCTCCAGCACCTCCAGCGGGCTTTGTGCTTCCTCCTTGTTGACAATGCGCACAGGCTGGGCTGGGGGGGTGCAGGGGACAAGGCAGGGCTCAGAGGTGTCCCTGCAGTGCGGGGCAGCACAAGGATGGGACCACTGTGAGCAGAGAGGTGGTGATTATGCCCACAGTGAATCACCGTGGAGCAGGAGGGCTTTGGGACTGATGGTACATCCAGTTGTGGGATTCTGCGAGTGGCTGGGAATTGTTGTGGGACTGGCTGGGGGTCGCAATGGGATCAGTCGGGGGTCCTAGTGGGGCAGGTGTGCTGGCTGGTAGGGTCTGGCAGCTCAAGGTCCCCTTAGGGAAGAGGATCCAGGCAGAGATGGTGGCAGAGCCCATCACTCCTGCATCCCTCCCTGCACAGGCAGCTCAGCTGCTGGGTTGGGGGCCGTTAATTTCAGTGTGTTCCCCATCCTGAGTGCCTGGCTGGTGAGCTGGGACACCTGCCTGCACCAGACCCTCTCCCACCCTGCCCAACCCTCTGTCTCCAGCTGATAAAGGTCCAGGCTGAGCTCAGACCTTGGCAGCTGAAGCAGGAGGAGCGGCACCTGGGAGATGGCCAAGGCTAAATTTAACCAGCCCCTGGCTGGGGGAGGTGGGAGGGACATGTCTTGCCATGACCCTGACATGTTCCTTTCTGACCAAGGGGTCCTGCAAGATTGGGGACAGGGGTCCTGTCCTCCTCTGACATGCTGCACCCTGGCCTCTGCCACAGAGGCGTCCCCTCCCCTCGCCCAGGGCTGTGGCATGATCCCACCATGCTGGGGGGTCCCAGAAGCTCTGAGTTCCTGCCAGCTCACCCAACACTTCCACGCTTGTCACCATGCAGTCACTGGCAGCATCGCAGACGTAGCACCCTGCGTCACTGGGCTGCACCCCACAGACGGTGAGCTGCCGCAGCACCCCGCAGGCCTTGACCTGCACCCGCTCACCCGGCTGCACCTCCTGGCCATCCCGGAGCCAGCGCACGGTGGCATCAGGCCGGGAGAGCTCACAAGCCAGCACCAGGTCCTCTCCAGCCACCAGGCAGTGGTGCTCCACAGTGCCTGTGCTGCCCACAATGGTCACCGGTGGCTCTGGGACTGAAGAGACGGGCTGTCACCACAGGAGCAGCAGCCTGTGCTGGGTGCTGCAATGGCTGGATCCTGTTCAAACCTCCTCTGTCTGCAGCTGGGCAGTGCAGGGGTGTTCACAGAGACCCTGCATGGGGACAGCCTGCTCCCTGCATGTCCCCCACCAGCCTCCCCATGCTTGTTGACACCCAGCCCAGCTTCACACAAGTCTGGCAGCAGCCAGGGACCCACCTCAGTCCTCGCCCCTCTGGCCGTCCCCCCCCGGACCTTCCACTCACCTTCCACAGTGACAAAGAAGACGATGCTGTCATCACCAGTGTCACACAGGTACTCCCCTGCGTCCCTGCCCGTGGCACCCAGGACGACAAGGGAGCGGTGTGCCCCGTCCTCCTCCAGCCGCACATGCCCCGTGTCCTGCAGCTTTTCTCCGTCCTTGTACCACTTCACCTCCCTGTGGGCGTGTGAGAGGTGCACCTCCAGCACCAGGTCCTCCATAGCCCGGCAAAGCCGGCGGGTCGGCAGGACGTCCCTCTCCAGGATCCTGACCAGTGGATCTGCAGCACCCAACACCAACAGAGCTGGAGTCACTAGAGAGCGTGCACCCAGCAACCCCCCCAGGCTCTCCCCACAGCCTCTTGCTCACCTGACACTTGGACAGTGAAGGTCACTGTGTCATCGGCAGCAGTGCAGATGTATTTTCCCGAGTGCTCAGCTTGGGCCGTGGGGATGACCAGGCGGCGGTGGGCACCCTCCTCTTCCAGGACCAGGCTGCCCCCAGCCTCCAGCTTGGTGCCCTCTTTGGCCCAGAACACTGGAGCATCTGCACGGGACAGCTCACAGTCCAGCATCACTGTCTCCCCCGGGGACACTGTCACTACAGGGAGAGGTCTGCGGGGCTGCAGGATCCTCACCGGTGGCTCTGCAAGGATGACATGGCTGCTACATAAAGTAACACGGGAACAATGTGGCCCCAGGGATGCCCCTGCTGCCAGCCCCAGGTGAGCACCTGTGCTGGGTGGCCAGGGGGTGGGCACCCACTGGCTTCATCACCATGGAGAAGCCAGTCCTGTGGCCAGAGCACCATCAGCGTCTCCCTGCTCCTGGGTTCCCACTTACCTGACACCTTGACATCGAAGGAGACAGCCTCATCCTTGCTCTCACAGATGTACTCGCCCTCATCTTCTGCGCTGCTCCTGGGGATGAGGAGGCAGCGCCAGGGCCCCTCTGCCAGCAGCAGCAGGTTGTCAGTCTCATCCACTTCCAGCCCATCCTTGAACCAGCGCACGGGTGCATCCGGCACAGACAGCTTGCACCGCAGTTCCACGCGCCCTGGCACCTGCACTGGCAGCTCCAGCGAGCGCTGTGCAGGGTGCAGGATCCTCACTGGCGGTTCTGACAGGGATGTGGAGGAAGGGTGTGAGACTTGCTCTCTGCATCGCTCCTGCCTCTGCTGTCCCTACTTACCGTCACCTGTGTCCCTGTCCCCAAGGGGCTGCGTGGATGCTACAGCCTCTCACCCCAGTACAAAGGAGCAGGAGCTGCTGTAGGGCAGGTGCATCAGTCCTGCAGTGCCAGCCCAGCATGGCTGGAGGGGGGCACCCACCAGCCCCTGGGTGATGCAGCTGAACCCCCTCCTTTACGATGCTGAGGGCAGGGAGCAGGGCTGGGAACCCCATGGCACAAAGCCGGGGTAATGCTGCCCTTCACAGGACAACCCTGCTGTGCCACCAACCTGCCACCGAGATGTGGTAGGAGACAGACACATCCCCGGCATTGCAGACGAACTCCCCTGCGTCCTGCGGCTGGGCACAGGGTAGCACCAGCTGGTGCCATGGCCCTTCCTGCTCCAGCACCAGGCTCTCTCCTGCCTCCACCTCCTCCCCGTCCTTGTACCAGTGCACCGGGGCCGCCGGGCGGGATAGCTGGCACCACAGCTCCACGCGCTGCCCGGCCACATAGGTGTGAGGGGCCTCCTCATTGGAGCTGACGATTCTCACCGGCGCCTCTGCCAAGGGACACATGGTGTGCCTCAGCCTCGACGCTGGGTGAGCCCCACATGAGGACAGGCACTGCCCGGGAAGCTCACCTCTCACAGTCACCCTGAAGCTGGTGGCATCATCCCTGGCATCGCAGGTGTATGTCCCCGAGTGGGACGGTGCGGCTGCGAGGATGTGCAGCCTCTTCGAGCTTCCCTCTGAGCAGATGGTCAGGACCTCAGTTGGGACCACGGTCTCACCATCCTTCAGCCAGTGGACAGGGGCATCTGGGGGGGACACCTGACACTCCAGCAGCAGGGGCAGCCCTGCCAGCACCTCCTGGAGTTGCTGTGCCTCAGGCACTGGGGCAATGTGGACCTGCGGGGCTGAGAGGACCAAGACCTTGTGTCACTTGGCCTCCATCCTACCTGCCCCGGGGGCCAGTGGCCAGGGTCATCCCAGCCCTGCAGTGCTGGTAGCTGAAAGGTGAGGGAGCACCAGGACTGAGGTGGCATAACCTATGGGCAGGCAGCATGGCTGTGCCCTGGGGTGTGGTGGGACAGCATGGCACAAGGCTGTAGGAGGAGACAGAGCAGATGACCTGCCCCTGCCTGCATCCCTCTCCAGCCCAGGGGCATGGGCAAGGAGCCGCTCATGAGGAGGCATGGGGCACCTGAGATGCTGCAGCTGCTAGTGGGATGGCAGCATGAACAGGTAGCTGGGGTAGAGGGAGGAGGATGAGAGGGATGTAGCTCTGCATTGCACCCACCTGCCACAGTGATGGTGTAGAAAGCAGAGTCCCCGCCGACATCGCAGACGAACTCCCCCTCATCCTGCAGCTGGGCACAGGGCAGCACCAGCCGGTGCCGTGGCCCTTCCTGCTCCAGCACCAGGCTCTCTCCAACCTCCACCTCCTCCCCATCCTTGTACCAGTGCACCGGGGCTGCCGGGCGAGACAGCTGGCACCACAGCTCCACGCGCTGCCCGACCATGTAGGCGTGGGGGGCCTCCTCATTGGAGCTGACGATCCTCACCGGTGCCTCTGCCAGGGATAATGTGGGGCTCAGACAGGATGTAAAGACCAGAGCAGGTGATGGTGGCAGTCACAGCCCAGCATGGAGTAGTGGCTTCACTGGCTCACTGGCTTTAAGGCTGGAAGGCACCACCTCATCCACAAGAGTCTGGGCTGCCCTGCCCTGGGTTCTGTCTTCTCCTCACCCACCACACCCAGGAGGGACACCTGGCTTTCACCTGGGTATAAATTGCTGCTGTGCCCTTGTGCCCATGATATCTGCCCTGCTGCCCCAGGATGGAGCTGAGGGATGTGGAGTGGGGATGCAGGTAGGCAAACACCTCATTAATGAGCCCCAGCACTACTAATTGCCATCTGTGTTACCAGCACTAACCCCTGTGGCTGCCCTACCAGGGGGTGCCCACCCCTCTGCCTGTATCCCCATTTTGGAGGCCACCAGGTCTTGGCTGGTGCTTCTGTCTTGGCCTGGCATTTGCTGACACTGCAGTGTAGGCATGTGGCTAGCTTGGGGCCAGCAGCCCCATCCCTCCAGCTCACCAGGGCCCAGGACCGCATGCCAGATCATAGTGCTCACTAAACACTGTTAATGGGTTACACACAAAATGTGTGCCACTGCTCACGTCCCCCCACTGACTTGAGTCAAATCTCTAAAGGCAGAGGGGCTCCCAGTACAAGCTTTAGGTGACCAGCCCTCCTCTCTCCTGGGACAAGGTCAGGATGTGACCCTACCTGCCACAGCCAACACCATCTGCCCAGCCATGTGCGTTGCAGTGGGCTGTAGCTGGGCTGGACTCTGCCATGGGTGGCTCTGGGAGGGCACAGGGCACACCTGGCACCGGAGCATGCCGCCAGTGGCTGGGCAGCGACCTGCCCTTCTCACGGCCCACAGCTGCCCCGTGCTGGGTGTCTGGGCTGCAAACTTCCCAGACAGCTTCCAGCCGCGATGCCCAAGCTCATCAGCGTACTGCAGCCCTGCAGCACATGGGAGCGGAGTGGCGCCAGTTTGCAGCACTCAATCTGCACCACGCTGAGCCCGCATCCGCCCGGCTCCCTGATCAAACGCGCAGCGGCTGCCTGACTCCCTGGGCCTGCTAAAAGCAATCACATCACTGAAGTGCAGCTGGAGATGTTGAATGGCACCGAAGTGAGGAAGGGGGCGATGTGCCAGCCCTCAGTGGGCAGCACCGCTGTCCCCAGCCCCATCGCCAGCTGCGATGAAGCCCCAGTGTGCAGCAGCTGCTCGAAAACCCAGAAGCGTGTGGGGGTGGCAGGGCTTGAGGCAGGCAGGCTCTGTGCTGCAACAGTCCATGGCGGATAGCTGGGATGCCTCGGGGAAGCCCAAGCGTGCCACAACAGTGCTGACTGAAGCAGCCAGCCCGGCACTTGTGCCAGAGAGATGCCAGCCTGAGCCTCCTGGCACCTATCTCCAGCACCGCCAGTGACACCGATGGCTAAACCCTCTCTAAGACCCTTCTGCTGAAGCAATGCAAAGCTGCTCTGCCGAAAAGCTGAGCTTCAGCAGATGGTGTTCCCCTCTCCCACCCTAAGGAAGCCGAGCTCTCCATGCCCTTTACCCTTATGAGGCAGGTGATGCTTCCTGCCTCTGCCCAAAGCCCACACTGCCTGTCCTTCCCACTGGTGATTTTGCCTTCATCACACAAAACCCCCTCCCTTTTTCACCCTCCCAGCAGTCATCACTTCACTGACTCTTCCACCATCTCCCATCAGTCATCCCATCTTCACTCCTACATCCCCTGCCATCAACTTTGGCCCCTTTGCCACCTATTAACACTGTGGAGAGGCTTTACCGCTGTGGTCACGGAACCTTTTAACTGGGCTTTAGCTCTGCCCCTAGTCACCTTCCTGTGGTTGTGGAATTGTGGGTTTCAGGGCCAGCAACGGGAAGTCTTTCACTCACTTTCAGCTTTCATTATCCTCTGCCAGCCAGCGATGCCAGCAGCCACTCCATGGCTGGGGCAGCCGCTGTGGGACACCATCCCTTGCTTCCACCCAGCAAACACCACCCAACTGTCAGTCTCCAGGCAACCACTAATTTTCAGCTCAGCAATTAACACCGTCTTTCAGAGAGATGTCTGGCTGCAAGTGACCCCATGCCAGGTGCTGGGCCCCCTATTTTTAGGACCTCAGAGAAGGACTTGGTTACTGACCAGGGCAGAGGACCGGCAAGCACCCAGGCACGGAGGTGCTGGATGCCCTCGGGTGCTTGAGCATTTTGGACCAGCAGAGCAAACTGTCCCCTTTGCCAGATAGTCTGGGTGGCTTTACGCACCAGAGCTGTCACAAAGACCCCGGCAAACTGACCGACGTGCTGGTGAGGACCCAGTAAGAGCATCTCTGAGGAGCATCCCCAGAGCAGCAAATGACAACAATGCTGACAGCTACACATGCTGTGACATCCTGCACCACCAAAGAAAGCCCCAAAAGGTGTGACCCTGCCAGTCCTCCTGCATCACACCCACCTGCCACAGTGATGGTGTAGAACACAGAGTCCCCACCAGCATCGCAGACGAATTCTCCTGTGTCCTGTGGCCGGGCGCAGGGCAGCACCAGCCGGTGCCGTGGCCCTTCCTGCTCCAGCACCAGGCTCTCTCCAACCTCCACCTCCTCCCCATCCTTGTACCAGTGCACCGGGACTGCTGGGCGAGACAGCTGGCACCACAGCTCCACACGCTGCCCAACCATGTAGGTGTGGGGGGCCTCCTCATTGGAGCTGACGATCCTCACCGGTGCCTCTGCCAGGGATAATGTGGGGCTCAGCACAGGCACCTGGCTGACAGCAGTTTTCAGCCCCATCATGGAGGCGAGAAGAGGGGCAGGAGCACTGTCAGGTGATGAGGTCCAGGCTCCTGCATTGGTCCCCAGCTCACCGGTCACTGTCACCACAAAGCTCACGGCATCATCCCCAGCATCACAGGTGTACACGCCAGTGTCCAGGGGACCCGCTGAGCGGAGGAGCAGCCTCCGCACACAGCCCTCTGCCTGCACTGCAATAACGTCATCCAGGGGCACGGCCTCGCCATCTTTCAGCCAGCGGACAGGGGCACCTGGGGGGGACACCTGGCACTCCAGCAGCATGGGCAACCCTGCCGGCAACTCCCGGAGCCGCTCAGCCTCGGGCACTGGAGCAATATGGACCTGTGGGGCTGAGAGACATCACAGAGGGGTGAGAAGCATCCTCCAACATGAGAGCCCCTGCTGCTCCTCTCTCAGCAGGACCCCAGGGCAAGATTCCTGCTCACCTTGTACGTGCAGCGTGGCTGAGTCTCGCACCTCACCAGACACAAAGGTAACCTGGGCGCCACTGTCAGCCACCCGTGCTCCCCGGATCAGCAGTGAGTGCTCCATCCCATGGTGCCGCACGCTGCACCGGCCACATGCCTCCTCCTCCTCGCCCAGCCTGGTACCATCGAGGAACCAAGTGCCATTCACCATGGCCGACAGCTCCAGGGAAAACCGAGCATCCTCACCGTCCTGCACCCGCACATCCTGCAGACCCCTCTCCAGGTGAGCTGCCGGGGCTGGAGCACAGCTGGACTCAGCCCCAGTGGTAACAACCAGCAGTGTGCCATGGCACAACATCCTGGCTGGCTCTGGGGAGAGCCAGCAGCCAGGTGGGGCACCCTCACCGAGATGCACGGAGCCAGGGAACTCCACGGGGCTGCTCCTGCCGTGTTCGTTGGTGGCGCAGACACGGAAGCAGTAGTCAGCCTCGCGGGGCACGCTGTCACCCAGCACCCGCATGCGGCCAGGCAGGTCGGTGGCGAGGCACTGCACCCACTCACCCCCCGCCACCTCCCGCCGCTCCAGCAGGTAGCGGCTGGGGGGGCGGAGGTGGGCGTCGGGCGCAGGGCACCAGGCCAGCAGGGCTGCGTTGCTCTCAGCCACACTCATCTCGGCTGCCACCGGTGTGCTTGGAGGGTCACGCTTCACACCTGCAAGTCACAGCCTGTGTTGCCTGCTTGGGGGCAGCAGTGAGGCTCCCGGCAGAGTGGCAGAAGGGCTGAGTGGGGCTACACAGCCTGTTTCTTTGGGGATCCTCTCTCTGATGGAGAGGATGGAAAGGATGGCCTTTCTCCCATGTAGCGTGGCGCTGGTTACAGGCGTTTGTAAGTGCCAGAGAAGTTGGGGCCCTGCAGCCTTGCTAAAAGCTCCCTTCCCCAAAAAGCCATCACAGCATCATGTCCCCAGTGTAGTGGGTGCCCATCCCATCTCTCCCCCTTGTCACCCGCTGTGAATGGGCAGGACGGAGGACACAGAGCCCGTCCGAGCCTGGGGCTTACACTTGACTCGGAGCTGGGAGGACGTCTGCGACTCCCCAACAGTGAAGGAGATGATGCCCACGTCCTGGCGGGTGACATGCACCAGCACCAGGAGATGTGTCCTGCCAAAACTCTTCAGCACAGTGTGGGGTGACTCCCGCAGCTGCAGCCCATCCCGGCTCCAGCAGGTCCCCTCCACTGCCTCCCGTGTCTCCACACAGAAAACTGCATTCTCCCCCTCCATCACATCCAGCTTCCGTGGCAGCCGCTTCACGATCATCCCTACGAGAAGAGATGCATGAGGGCTGGAGAGGGATGCTGGGGTGCAGGGTGGGCTCCCTGCGGTGTGAGAGAGGAGGAGCAGTATTTGGTTGAGTAGAGGCAGCAGCAGGCACCACGGCTAAATGGTGGGAAAGCAGATGCAGGGGGCGGTGCGGAGCCCGGCGAGAAGGGGAATAGGAAGGCAAAGCCATGCCACCAGAGACCTGATCCGCACCTCGGACAGACAACTCAGCGATGCTGCGCCCCTTGTCCTTCATCTGGCAGAGGTAGATGCCGTCGTCATCAGTGCGGGCATCACGGATGGTCAGGCGCCGCACCACGCCTCGCTCCTCCATCACGTACTTGTGGCTGGGCTGCAGCTCCCTGTCCTCCAGGTACCAGGCGGTGGGGATGGTCTCCAGCGGCACCTGGCACTCCAGAACGGCATCCTCCTGCTCTGCCACCTCCACATCTGCCAGCTGCACCTGGAACTGCAGCCGGTGCTCTGACACCGGGTGAGATGCGTGCTGAGAGCGTGCAGGGCATGGCACGCCCCGGCAGCCCTTTGTTCAGGGAATTCCCAGCTCACAAATACCACTGAGCCCTTGGCCCTTCTCTGTCCTCCTCTCCTTAGCCTACGTGGGACAGACACTGCTCCAGGGAGGACATCAACCAGAGCGGGGAGAAACTGGGTAGGGCCTGGGGAGACCTGGCGGTGACCCCAGCATCTCAGCAGGGAGTTTTGGAGGACACAGGAGCGTGCATGCCAGCATGCCCCAGCAGGCATCTCAGCAGAGGGGAGCAGTGGGGTGCAGCAGGGGATGCACCAGGTGCCAGGTCACCCCGGCTGCAGGCTGTCCCCAGCTGCTAGGGTGGCTCTGGGGGATGGGGCTGCTGCCAGCGCAGACAGTTGGAGCTATGCCCTGCAGGGCTGCCCGCCAAAACCACTCAGCACTTCCAGGGGAATTTGTCACCAAGGCACTGTCACCGCTCCCCACTCGTGGCTGGACACCCGCAGCCCTCCAGAGACATCACCTTTCTGTTTTCAAGGAGAGAGGGGCACGGAGGGGGACACAGCTCCCAAGAGAGCCCAGCATCCCCTGCTTCCAGCCCACAGCTCTGTCCGGAGGAGCCTGGGGTGACCCCAGCTGCACAGGACAGGAGGGACCCCAAGGATGCTGGGCTCACACACAGATGCATCCCTGACAGATGAAAAGCCTTGGACCCCCCCAGTACCTGGCCGCCCCCAGTAGTGCTTGGGCACTCTCCTACCTTTCACGTGGAGCTGCACTGCGCTGAGGGTCTGGCCGGCAGTGTTGGATGCAGTGCAGACATACAGCCCCTGGTCCTGGGGTTTGCAGTACAGTACCTTGAGGATGAAGTAGCCCTCCCGGTCCTCGTAGACAAGGTGCCTGCGGCCAGGGGCGAGGGGCTCACCGTCCTTCTGCCAGACAATTTCTGGCTTGGGCTTGCCGGTAACATAGCAGCGAAACTTGGCATGCTTCCCCACGCTCACGGCAAATGCCTTGGCCCCTGGCACCCCGGCCGGCACCACGCCATTGGGCACCCAGGTCTCTGGTCCTGCACGCCGTTCTGCTGTGTGCCGCCGCCGCTGCTGCCTCTCCGAGGGCGGCTCAGGGCCATCAGCAGGAGAACCATTGGGGAGCCCATCCAATGATGCCCGGGATTCAACCAGAAGCACGGCAGCAGCCAGGGCCTCCCGGGAGCCACTGCGTGCCCGGCACACATACACCCCCCCGTCGGGGGGCCGAGCACCAAAGAGCTTCAGGAAGTGCCAGTCCTCTGGCTCCTGTCCCACTGCAAAGTGGCTGCTCTCAAAGAGATCAGAGAGCTTGTGCCCATCCTTCTCCCACTCCAGCACCGGGCAGGGCTGCCCAGACACTCTGCAGGCAAACATCACATCCTCCCCCCGGCACACCCGTGTGGATGAGGGGGCAACGAGGAAGGAAGGTGCTTCACTGCCTGAGCATCTCTCCTCCTCTTGGGGCTTCCCTGCCTCCACCTTGAGTGTGGCGGCAGCATAGGTCTCACCAACACTGTTCTTGGCCTTGCAGATGTAGAGCCCACTGTCCTGGGGGGTGGTGTGGGACACCAGCAGGCTGTACAGGTCCCCCTTGGCCTCCATGTGGAAGCGGCCTGAGGGCTCGATCGGGGTCTTGTCCTTCTCCCAGATGATGCTTGGCTGGGGGTCACCCGTGATCTGGCAGCTTAGGACTGCGTCAGTGCCACTTTGCACTGTGAAGGCACGTGGGTAGGCCAGGAACCTGGGGGCTCCCCTAAATCCCTCCATCACCACCTCCCCGGGGTCACAGCAGGGGGCTGGCCGAAGCAGCAGTGGGGATCATCAGCCTGGGAGATGCACAGACCAAGCAGGGTGGGGACTCAGGGTTCAGCGGACGACCCGGCGTGGAGCACCACAAGGAGGCACCCATGCCTGGAGCAAAGCCCCCAGCACGGACCCCATGCTGCAGGAGCATCACTTTCGCTCTGAGCACCCCAAGCCCACTGGATATGCTCCTGTCTCAGCCCAAATCACCCATTTCCCAGCTCGGTGGCAATAGGAGAGGTGACAAAAGGCAGCTCTTTACACCCCAAGGGGCCGGGACACACAGAGCCCGTCCCAGGGTTGCAAAGAGGACTGCAGGTCCAGGGACAGGGAACCCCTGCCTAGATGGGGAGCGCAGGCAGCTGCTTGCTGGATGCTGGGGATGGGGGATGGTGGAGGCAAGACTGCCCCAGCCCGCCCCTTCCCCACCCGCGGACATTCCTACAGTATCGGGTGGTGGCAGAGCCACATTCCGGCAGCATCTGGGCTGGCTCAGCGGGCAGGTGCTGATTATGGGGCTGTCACAGGACCGAGGCACCCGGCTGGATCCCAGCACTTCCTCCCAGGCTCAGAGGAGCAGGGGAGACCCCCCTGTGCCTGGCAGTCACCCTGCAGAGCTGTGCCCTGTGGCAAAGCGGGGCTCTCCCAGGAGCAGGTTCCCCACTCCAGAGGGTGAGCCCATAGGCAGGATCCAGCCCTTGGGTATTGAAAGCCATGGCTGGAAATAATCAGCCCCAGGGGACCAGAGGAAAGGCTAGGGAGACAGGCCCTGCTTCTGGAGGACATGGCCTTCATCCCCAGCACTGCGGGTAACTGCGCCTACTATCACGGGTAGGAGTGGGGCAGGGTGCCCTGTGCCTCCCCTGGGAGAGTTCACCCCAGACTTTGCCCACATCATGGCTGGGGCAGGGGCATGTCTGCCTCCCTCAGGCAGGGGGGAAGAGAAACTAAATTATTCCCTGAATCAACCAGACGGGACAGTGGGAGAGGGTTGGTCCCCAAGGAGTGGCAGTGACCAGGCCCAGCTTCTCCCAGACCCCTGCCCCTGGGATGGTGCATCCATTCAGAGCCACCTCCCTGGCCACACACTCCCCTGACCCACGGGTCAGTCCATGGCCTCTCCTGCAAACACACACAGCCCTGATGGTTCGGCTGCCCCACTGCTCTCTTCAACCACACCCTTCCCTGATCGCCCTGCCCCATGGAGCCCCACAGCCCAGTCCCCTGCCCCACACACGCACCTCACTCTGCCGCCTCTCCTCTGTGTCTCCCAGTGCCGACACAGATCCTGCTGCTTCCCCCAGCTCCGCTCCTGGGTGTCAACGCGCAGGGACCAAACGTTACAAATGCCTGCAGCTGCTGTCCCCAAAAATACCCTCTGATGACACGCTGGGTTGATAAGACTGAGCCTGCTCCATTCAGCGCCTCGCTGGGGCTGGGCTGGCCTACCTATGTATAGCAGCCGGGCAGGAGCCACCCGGCCTGGAGCGGGCAGGCAGTGTTCCCCCACCAAAGATCTGGGGTGCTGCAAACCCAGCTGTGCCTCGGTGCTGGGTCAGCCAGAGGCAGGAGGCAACGTGCCGTGGGGTGCGCGGCATGGGGCGCTGTGTGGGGTGTGCGGTTTGGCACGCACAGCGTGGGCTGTGTGGCATGGGACACCAGGCTGCAGTGGGCTGGAACACACCACACAGGACATGCTGCACGGGGTGGGATGTGCCACACTGGATGCTGTGAGATGCACTGGAGGCTGCAGGGGATGGGATGTGCCGTACAGGCTACGTTACAAAGGACAGCAGGCTGTGGGAGGACTGGAGGGGGTGTGGAGGCTGCCCACCACCCCGCAGGGCAGGCAGGGGTGCTGGATGGGGGACGCCTGGCACTGTCACTGCAGGCAGTGGCAGAAGGAAGGCCAGGACACGCTGGGTCCCCTTCAGCCTGTGCCCTTCCTGCAGCTCCCACCCCAAGAGTGAGCCCATGGCCAGCCAGCCCAAACAGCACCCCAGGATCCTTCTCCTGGCACCACTGCAGGGTCTCCAGCTGGCCTGGCTCTGCCTCACCTCTTCTGCTCCCCCTGAAGCTGGCCCAGCCTTCCCCAGACCAAGGCAGCACAGGGACCTCTTGCCATCCCTCTTGCTTCATGTTCCCAGGACCTTGTCAGCCTCCTGGCTGCCCTGGAGATGTCACAGACCCCCGACACCCCAGTCTACCCTCCCCAGGGCCCTGTCCTCGCATCCCAGCTGCCCTGTGACCCTGGGGCATCCCAGTCATCCCTGGCAGGAGGGTGCCTGCCATCCTGAACATGCCCCCCCCCCATGCCAGGGTCTTGCCGGGCTCTGCACCCCACCAGGTCCCTGCCCAGATGTCCCTGCTGTGCACAGTTGCTGCCACCTGTCCCCCCAGAAGCCCCAAATCTGCAGCTCCTCTACCATGGGGGGCACCCAACACCAGCAGCTGCAAAGCTCTTTCAGGGTGTCCCCTCTGTCCCTGCCAGTGCAGGAAAATCTTCCTGGCAGCACTGTGCCCACAGCTCAGTATCCCCAGTCCCATACACCTGTC